GGGAGTGGGAGGCTGCCCTGCTTTTCGGGGATTCAGCCCCCTCCCCGCGATTGGGTGCCGCTTCAAAACTCCTTCAATAAGGGAGACTCTCATCTAAAGCGCTGCGTGGCACCTGATTTTCTCTTTCAACAAGAAAGGGACGGATTATTGGGAAGGGAGGGAGGGCGAGAGAAAGGAAAGAAGTGGGGGGGGGGGGGGGAAAGAGGCTTCCGCAGTAGGCAAAGTAAGGCCTGAATACCGTCTACCCTCCTTGTCATATTTCCCACGTCTTTTTATTTTTTTTTTATTTTTAAGGGAAGGATACTTAGGAGGAAACCCCGCTTTTTGTAGCTTGAACAAAAGTTGACCAAAGGCCGTCCGCCGTCCGGATCGAGCGGCTGTCCTCCCCCCCCCCCCCCCCCCCGTCTCTCTCGCTTTCACCTGAGGAGCAAACACGACGAGCTCCTGGAGAGAAGGCCGAGGCACCGGCCACAATACCACATCTTCTGGGATGGGGAGGGAGGGAGAGAAGTGAAAGGAGCAAAAGGGGTGACCCTGCTGTGCCACCCCTTCCTCATTCCCCTCCCGTTTTGTTCCCGGATCTTAAGACGCCTTTCAAACGGGCGGGTCCGATAGGATCGGCTGGAAGTTTCAAAAAGCGGAGGGACTTTGAATAGTTCCAGAAGGGTTTTTGCTCCCTTCCTTCCCAAGTGTTAGGGGGGGGGGAGAGAAACAGCTGCACGGTTCGCTTAGGCTCCGACAGCCTTCTCCTCCCCCCCCCACCCCCCCCGCCGACCCCCTCCCTCACATTTGAGCTGCTAGTGTAGTGAACGTTTGATTGCTCTCTTTCTTTTTCTTTTTCTCTTTTTCTTTCTTTTTCTTTTAAAGCCACGTTTCTAGCCCTTATGGGGGAGGCTTGAAAGAAGCGGTCGCGCTTTCCCTAAGCGGCTGAGCGACTGCCCGCCTGTCTCGAGCTTAGCGCCCGCACGTCTAAGAGTCTCGGGTGGGCTAGTGGTTGGTGTGGAGGAAATTCGGCTTCCTCACACGAGAAAAACCTAACCTTAGACCTCACTCCGTTCCTAAGGGGTCTGTAAGGAGGCGTGCATAAGCAGCTCCCGAGCGTGCCTACCGTCCTTGTCCTACTGTTCCCATTTGCTCCATTTCTTCGTACTCCTTTATTATGTAGACCTGTTATTATACTTACATGTTTCTATGTTCTGTTCATACTGATACTTGTTTTCTCATACATGCTTGACGAACTAAAATAAATAAAATAAAATAAATGGCTTGGAGCCGCCGGGTAAAAGAATAAGTCGCCGGAGGGGGCCTCTGGACGGGCCTGGCCTTTTAACAGGGACCCAGTTCCTAAGGGAAAGATCTCAGGACTCTGCCTCCCCCTTAAAGATACGGACTTTTAGAAGTGGCGTCTCAGGAGTCCTCCTTCTTGACCAAAAAAAGCTCTGGTGCGGTGGGCAAAGGAAACACCCGAATCTGCCCACAAGGCCTTCGGCTACTTAGCCCTGGATCTCCGTGGCTTTCCGCCTCCGTATCCTAAGAGCGAATGATTCTCGGAGCGGCGCTGAGGGGTTGAGATATGGCCTTCGGCCCTTGGCTAGGGAATGCAGACCACAATTCCCCCAAATCCCCAGCCATCGCTCAAAAACGAATTGGCTGTGTACTGTCGCAGTCCATTTCCTCAGAGGCCTGGAAGGATGCAGGGGAGATTATTATAAGATTGACCCCCCCCCCCAATAAGGAGCGCGCTACATACTACATACATACACACAGGCAGGCAAACAGACTTGGAGGGACCTGAACGTCTGAAGCCTCGTGGGTTTAGTTCAGTTCAACCTTTGGAGGGAGGGAGGCGAAGAATTCTTCCGAGAATCAGCCCGTGAGCTCAAAGTCCCGGGGACAGGGCACTTTTCGTTGTGGTCTGTAAAGAAACGAGGCCGTCCATGAGGGGGAGAGACATTGGCCGGCCTCTTTTTCGGGATGCTTCCCGCGAGCTGCCGGGGAGAGTGAAGATTTGGAGCCGGAAAGCAACCGAGAGCGGGAAAGGGCTTCCTTCCCATTGAATACGGTCCAAGCAATGCCTATTAAAGGGCATTGGATGGGCCTGGCCATAAAGTTGGAGGGCAGCGTGTGCGCTCCCGATGTGGCCTCGAAAAGGTGCGAGAAGGGCCCCAACCGAATTTAATTCCCGGGGAGCAGAAATTGGGGGCTACGATGAAGAGCTGGCTGGGTAGGTGGGTGGGCATTCCAGATTGGGGGGAGGGCGCCAAATCGCAGCTTCTACGCGGCCGATGCCCACGGCTGGCCTTTATTTATTTATTTTAGTTTGTCAAGCACGTATGAGAAAACAAGTAGAAGTATGAACAGAACATATAAACATATAAGTATAAACAGGTTTAAGTGAATACATCATAAATGAGTACGAATAAATGGGAACAGCAGGCACGCTGGTGCGCTTATGCACGCCCCCCTTACAGACCTCTTAGGGAGTGGGGTCCTTTGGAAGAAGAAGTCAGTGGGCGAGCCTCGCTCTAGGTAGGACCTGAAGGCAGGAGGGCCTGAAACCCAAATCGGGGAGAGGGGGTCAGGAGGTAGGGCAAACAGCCCGGACCCCACCCCCCGGGTTCGAGACCCGAAGAAAACTCAGACGCCTCCCACCCACCCCCGCCGCCCGCTTGCTCCTGGCCCGAGACCCAGGTAACCTAGGTGGACCTCAACGGGGCCGGCACACCTCCCAGGAGCCTCTTTCTCCGTCTTCTAATAATAATGACTATCATTCAGTGTTGTACCTGATGATTCTTGACTCTTGACGAATTCTTTTATGTACACTGAGAGCATTTGCACCAAGACAAATCCCTTGTGTGTCCAACTACACTTGGCCAATAAAATAATTCTGTTCTGTTCTGTTCTGTTCTCCCGCTCTCCGGTTCGGCCCTTCTGCAAGCGCCGCCCGTTCCTTCGGGGGCCCGCGGGGCGAGCGAACGGGCTACGGTGGTGGCGGCGGCGGCGGCAAGAGAAGGCTGAGGAGCGTCGGGCGAAGCGTTTAATTAGCCGCCGCAGATCTCTTCTTTCCCCAGCGCCCCCCCACCCATCCACCCCGCCTTCGCCGCCGCTTATCCCGAGTGGAGGGGTTGAGACCCCTTTTACACCTCGCCGTTCGCACGTTAATTAATCTCGAGCTAACCCTAATTGCAGCTTCGCCGAGCGCCGCTCCAAACAGCTTCAACCCACACGATAAACACGGCGCGGGGACTTTTTTTTTTTCTTCCCCCTTTTTCTCCCGATTACTCCACGCTAACACGTTGACTCATTAACTTCGGGCCCAACGAAAGGGTGCAAACAAATATTTGCTGTAAACGAAGGGAAGCTGAAGCAAGAGGAACCGCCGAGCGAGGATGGCGCGCCCGGTCAACGACGGCGTTGAGTCCCCCGCAAGGGCCCTGAAAACCTGCCCGGGACGTTTGGTGGGGGGGAGGGGGATCCCCCCTGCCTAGGCCTACCCCGCGCCGGTCAGACCCCGGTTTGGCTTCCGTCAGCGGTCGCTCTATAGACCCCATTCGCCTTACTTAGATCCGCGTAGCGGCGGGGTCTGCCTTTCCCCCGCTTCCGAGGGAAGGGAAAGG